GTCGCAGTCTGTTATTAGCTCCTGCAGCAGCCTTTGCGCTCCTCCTGTGCCTCGCTGCTTGGCCCAAGGGGGCTGGAGAGGGTCACAGCACTGATGGAGCCACGGGTCACCTCTCTGCTGGCCACCTTCTTATGGATCGCTGGAGAAAACGGAGACGAAGAAGATTGGCAATCAACACGGACACAAGTCAAAGTGAGGGTGTGAATGCTCTTTCTGGGCACCTTTACCTGTGAGAACTTCACTGAAAGCTGCTTCAACATTGGTGGAGCCCAACGCTGATGTCTCCATGAACATCAGACCTTTCTTTTCTGAATCAGACCGGGGTTTGAAAAACAAAAAAACATTAATACAGAGCAAAATGTATTTAGCCGTGAAAACACCATATATGAGAATTTTTGCAAGACATAGAAATAAAATCAGTCTCTTATATTAGAAATATTCCAAAACAACATTAAAGAAATAACTATACAATACTACTTAACTTACCTGCAAAGTCTCTGGCCTCATCTGTGGGTACGGTCCTGAGAGTGTCCAGATCGCTTTTGTTTCCCACCAGCATGACCACGATGTGAGGGTCTGCATGGTCGTACAGCTCCTTCAGCCATCTCTCTGCGCTCTCATAGGTCAAGTGCTTGCTAATGTCATAGACCAGCAGCGCTCCAACTGCTCCCCTGTAATACCTGAGGAGGAACACACATGGGCTGGGTGTTACATTCAAACAGGAAACAATGCCTTTAAGTAGCTGTTGTGCATGAAAGAGGTGTGACCGTTAATTAAACACAGTGCAATCAGTGTTACTTAAACTGGCAAACATGTGTGAGCCAACACTGATAATCTCATAATTCCCACCTCAATTGTGTCTGTTACTCATTCGTAAATGGTGTGTGTGCTTATGTGTGTGTACCCACGCTGAGGTGATAGCTCTGTAGCGCTCCAGGCCAGCCGTGTCCCAGATTTGAGCTTTGATGGTGAGGTTATCAATTTGCACGGTCCGTGTGCTGAACTCGACACCGATGGTGGTACGGCTGTCATGGGCGAACTCATTCTTGGTGAAGCGAGACAGAAGGTTGCTCTTTCCTACGCCAGACTCTCCGATCAAAACCACTAAACACACACAACAGGTATTGAAATGGCTCTTAATCCTTTATTTGATTAAAAAACTAGATACCAATAACACTGAGTATTAGAACAAATCAAGGATAAACCTATCTCATGGTAACTTGCTGAAACATATTCTTTTATATCCAGACTTTCTGTCACCTCAAAAGACACTAGACACTATGACATCACACAGACGTGGCACATCTCCCCTGGGGCTGATTTCACTTTGGAATGAATGGAAGTTTATTTTAATAAGGAATATGCACATGCTCATGAGGCTCTTTGTAAGATTATAACGTGTAGATTATATGTTTCTATAATAGGTCAAAGGTTAAATGGTTTACAGCCGAATGGATACAGAGCGATCACTTCCTACTTTCCCTGCTCTATTCACTTCCTTGGAAATAGCAGCAGGCAGCTACAGCCGGAGTTGTACCTGCCAGCTTCATTGTCTACAAATACGCAATAATACACAGAGAAAAAGACATTCATGTCTTCCTACACAATCACAGCTTAAGCAAACATGACTCACCTTTAAAGACAAAATTGTACGAATCATCAGACCCCATGCTGCACTCAGAGGCGAAGGGTTCCTGCTTTGCTAAGTAAATATCCTGAAGGCACTTTAAATATTAGCTCCCAAAGTAGAATCTAAAGAAAGAAAAACAGAAAGAAAGAAAAAAAATCCAGCCTCAGTCCTGAGTCTCTCTCTCCGATGTGGAGAGAGAGCAAAGGCGAAGAAAAGAATGGAAAGAAAAAAGGGAACTGGTTGAGCCGCTTGCTTCTTTATCTACGCATAGTGGGTAACTTCAGATTGAGGGCAGGCAGTCCTGAGCTCTCATCAGCTGACACCCAGAGAAGGGCTGGAGGGAGGAGAGCAGGTGGAACAGGTAGAACCACTGGCAGGTAGTCATGAAGAGTCTCCACCCTCTGCTGCTCTATTCATGCACTGATTCTGATCATTTGTGGTGTGACCTCACTTAAAAGGTGGTTTCTGTGTGCAAACACACGTCATCATTCCCCACCTTTCTGATCATTAAACTTGGAGTTGAGAGTGCTTTATAGTGTACTAACTATTATGTAATACACTGCTCAAACAGAATTTAATAAGCATATAGCAACAAGTCAGTTAAACTTCTGGGATATTTAACTGATCAGTTAAGTAGCAGCGGGGGTTGTTATTCAGTTTCAGCTGCTTTAGTGTTGATGAGATTAACAACAGATGCACTAGAGAGGCAACAGTGACAGTTGTCCCTCATCTAGTTTTGCATTTGACGGTGTAAATATCTCTGACTGAACGATCAGAAACAGACTTCATGAGGGTGACTGAGGGTTCTCTATTGAGCCCAGCTGGCATTTAGTGTAGAAAACCAGAATTGGTAGATACACCACTCGTGAATTGTGCTTATCACAGATCAGAGCAGGTTCACCCTGACAGACCAGCTGGAGAAGCTGTGACAAATTTTGTTTCCTGTAACAATGTTCAGCATGACCAGTTTGGTGGTGGGTCAGTGATGGTCTGGGGAGGCATATTCATGGAGGGACGAAGGCTAGGCAACGACACCCTGACTGCCATTAGGTATCAGGAGAAAGTCCTTGGACCTGCCATCTGACCCTACACTGATGCAGTGGGTCCTGGATTTCTCCTGGTGCACAATACTTGGCCTCATGTGGCGAGAGTACGCAGGAAGGTCCTCTGGGATGTATGAACTGGTATCAGTGACCCCACCCACATTTTCTTGACCCAAATCCAATAAAACACCTCTTGGACATTATTATCATCATTATTATTATTATTTCAGTCCATCTGACACCATCAGGTTGCACCTCATTCTCCAGATCATTGATGCCCAGATCTAGATCCAAGAGATCTCCCAGGAGACCATCCACAGTCTCATTAGGAGCCTACCCTGACATTATCAGGTATGCATACTGCAAATGCAAACTGAACCTTTGGTCAAATTGACTAGTCTGCCACATCTTTTTTTTTTTTCTTCACTTTTGTCTTTAAATTTAGCCACCTGTAGGCTAATAATTACTATTTCTTTTAAAATATCTGGCATCCTTTCATTCCTAACCAATTACCCAGTCTATATCAATGTAGATATCAAGCATGATTTCTTTTTTTCTTTTTTTTTGTAGATCTGATGTGTTCAAAATGTTCCTTTGTTTTTTTAAAGTGTATTTTAATTATCGTGATTAACAGAACACAGCTACAATCGATCCTATATGAATACAAACCAGCAAACAGTTCAGGCTCACACAGTAATTCATAACTCAGCACTCTAAGAAGATAGCGTGTTATTGTTATAGTGACGTTTTTGTTTTAGAGTCTTTTTGTGTGTGTATAATTTGGGTTTTCCCGTTTTTTTTTTGTGAGATATACTATTTTTGTCTCTATAGAAGATATAAAAATAATATACAGTAAGTTCATTTTTGACAAGACATTTCCTTACAAATAGTGAAAATATTGATTTTAATTAACTAAATTAATATCAGAGATGAAAACACTTCCTGGAACTTTTAAGCATCATTAATAGTAATCTGTGTACTTTTCAGCAAGCTTCCAAGGCATTTATAATTAAAATCTTTAAAATATCATCCCGTTAGTGGTACCAACCTTAAAGGATGGCCAACTGTGTTTAAAAACAAAAAAATAAAAATAAAAAACCCTCCAAAAGTAGATTTAATCTTACAGATTTCAACATTTCACAAAAAACAGAAACAAAGTTCAATGACTTCATACAAATCAACTTTCATAATCAACTGACACATGTGTGGGCTGTTTTTAAATCATGTTTTATTTTTTTTTAGTACAGTACTGTTAAAAGTTAGTTCCAACATGTTCAATTCGGAGATGGATTTTCATTATTTTTTTTTTCCAGCTGAGGTCAACAGACAAAGCAAAGCTATAGCAGCAGTTGCCAAGGTTACCACAACTACATTGCTGAGAATTTCAAAAGGAAAAAATAAAAATAAAAATAAAAAAATAAAACAACCTAGGCTTGATTTGAGAAATTTATGATGCCACTGTACCAGAGTTGTTTGTAAAGCCGTTCCATCGTTCATTTTTCGTTAATCATTTGATTTCCATTTTATTTTGATGAGACAAATCACCTCTAGGTACTAACTGCACCTCAAAAGAGAAATTAAAATGAAGAATAAGATTAAAACGAAAGGAAAACTTGTTTCATTCTTATTCATTCTAACTGCGCCCTCTGCTTCAGAGACGCTGCAATGTGATATCTGATTATGGCTAAGTTCTGGATGGTGCGTGAAATTTGCTTAGTTGGGGCAGGGTCCTCAATAACCCACTGAGTGAGGCAATTCACTGATGATAGGGCAGTGGAAGACAGCAGGCACAGCAATGGTGCCTCAGAGGGAAAAAGCCACTGCACCTGTGAGTGGGCACTTTTATCTTGAATGACGTATTATGTCATGTTATTAAGAGCTTGCAATAAATAGTGAAAGCTGTTGGGGAACGACAGCCATTTAAGTAGAATCTTTAGAACAATGAAAGGAGGAAATAAGGTGGATCATCTGCGTGGACAAGATACCTTCCTGCTAACACTCAGGTTTGCCACCTGTAATCAGAAAATCTTCATTTATCAATTTGCTAGTTAAATACCAGCAAACCTCACAGTAGCCATGTAGGAAAAAGAGCCAGATGCCAATCACATCACGTGGGTTCAATTTGTATCATGAAAATGTTAACCTGTAGCACTCTACTCCAGTTTTACATGAAGAAAACAATATATAGTGAAAATGGTAGGGAATCCCTTTCCAGGAGAGATTTTCACTCTTATTCTCTGCACCAGAATACCCTTTACGGTAAGAGTGGTTCAGTCCAACTCTACGGCAGCACTCTTGACAGAGATCTGGTTGGATGGTGGCAAAGAGTGAAAGTATAGGAAATGGGGCATGATCTGAGAACAGATGTAGAGTGAAGGTCTTATAGATCCTGCCCACGTTCGTTCCGTTAAGTTGGGGACAATACACTGAAATTTATTTTGGTTCTCTGTAGATGCTGGGTGTTTTTGTGAGTTAGGTATGTATGCGCATGTCTGTGTATCACTAGGTACTGTATGTCTTTACGAGGGCTGTGAGCCCAGAAGTCTCTCGATTGCAGCATTGATGTCTCCTCCAGTAGCTATGAGCGCCTGCAGGTTGGCCTCGCGGTTGATGAAGCCCATAGCATTAAGCTGGTCCAGCTGGGACTGGAACCGAACCTCTGGGGTCTGGGTCTACAACGACAAAATGAGATGTGAGACAAATTATACTAGTACCATACTGTGACCATGTCCACCCCCCCACCCCCCTTTCTTTAAAGCAGTCATTTCATCTGAGAGCACACATGTTCACAAATTGTACAGTATTGTGAAAAAGTCTTGAGCCACCCCTGATTTCTTTATATTTTGCTTAGCCAGACTTTTCTGTCCTTTTAAAAAGCGTCCTCAAGAAGGCTTTTTGAAGGCTTTTCAATGTTTTTCTTTGGCTGATTTTCCACTCATTTCAGTCCAGTCCTTTTACCTGACCATTTTCACGGGAATGTTATTTGACCACTTAACACAGGCCTATAAATCATCCACCCAAAGATAACAACCTAACTCAATTAAGTGTTCCACCTAATTATGTTTATGTATATGACTAGAGAGCTAGAGACCAGTGAAACAAAGCAGCACTTGATGACAGAAAAGTTCAGGATATCCTCAACAACTCATCACACTATTGCTGTCATTTGCCAGAAGTACGCTTCAGCGATTCATCACCTCGCTGTGGACACCTTTTACAAAGTTTATTCCTTTTTCATTGCTAAGTGTTGACATTATTCAAATATTTTAAAGTGTAGTGTGTACCCCAGTGGTCACTGTAGCTATGATTACACACTTGAATTAAGAGGGGTAAGAAAAATTGAATTCAGTTAACTGCAATTTGCAATCTACTGACATCTAGTGAGATTTTACAGACTTGACCTTTAAGACAAAGGAAAAACTCCAGCAAAGACCTGACACAGGACCAGAGAGGTACATCTGGTCCTTCAGTGGATCGCTCACTGAAGTCTCATCATATATGGTCTAAATGGAAGGTGGCTGTCAAGAAGCCATTTCATAAGGAGGACAAACAGTGAGTAAAGGCTGAGGTATGTCAAAATCCAGTGTGAGATGATCTTGACAGAGGATGGAACAAAAGGCAGCAAACAGCCATAAAAGAGCTTTAAATGTCCTTCAAGAAGCCTAGAGATCTATTCCCGAAGACATGACAAAACAGCTGCCTAAGAGAGTTCAGACTATGTTGAAGAATAAAGATACTGAAACCAAATGTTGACTTTAAACCTTGTTAAAACTGAAAAGAAAAAAAAAAAACCTCAGTTTTTATACTTTTCCATGTTTCAATAAAACACTGGAACTATGTCCTATTTTACCACCAAAATATAAAAAGAAATGTGGCTCAAGACACAGTACTGTAATTCCTATGCATGTGTACCGTTGCGCTTCCGCCTCCACCTCCTCCTCCAGCAAACATCTGGAGCATCTGTTGCATCAGCTGCTGCTGGGCAGTGTTTGTTCCAGCACTGCTGGGTGAGGATGCAGGGTTCTCTGTGGGCATGGCCCCTCCTGTGGGTATTCCAGGAATTCCACCTGGCATCAAACTAGGATGAAGGAAAAATTAACAGCAGAGAGTATATCCACCTCAAAAATGAACGACGTTTATATGTGTGTTAGCATACCTGGGCATGAGGCCTGGTGCTTCTGTCTGCAGTGTCTGTAGGCCCTGCTGGATCTGCATCAGAGCTTGCATGGCCCGTGGATTGGTCATCACTGACAG